TCATCTTCAGGTGATGTTCTGCACTGGCAGGGTTTCATAGTGAAACATAATAGGCTTTTGGCAGGATGGAGGTATGTGATCTCTGCAGTTTTGATCTCTGGCAAAAACTGTCAAAGAGAATTTCTGAGACTGTGAAGAGGTTTGGAAGGAACCTCTTACATCATCAAGCTGAAAATAAACAATGAAGTTGTGTGTGCGTGTCATAGGATAATAAGTCTAAATGACATAAACACAGCAAGGTGTACGTCTTCTTACAACTCTCTGGGTTGAGAGCTCAAGTCAGGGAGTTCATATAAAATAGGTACATGACTAAATTGAGAGGAGGTGTAAATGTAAGTGCTGAGTGGTTTGGAACAAAGATAAAATTACATGGCAACATGAGGTTTCTGGAGTTAAGTTTTATTCAGGCACTTCTGAATTTGTTGCTAAGTTTCTCTATAATTTTTTTGTAGTAAGCAGCAGTGTCCTCATACAATAAAATGACTGGAGTTTACTTTGTTTCCATTTCAGTCCATCTCTCTGTAGTAACAGTACCCTTCAGATATGATTTCACTGTCTCTGTCCCTAGGGTCACTGAAGCAATCATACAATGTTTCTTCAGGGGTATTAAAATATTTATAACAAAACTAGAACAAGAATAGTGTTTGAAATTCAATGAATGTGCTTTTCATGGGACCAGTACCCATAAATTCTAAAAAGAAAGCAGTAACTGAAATCTTGATCTTATCAAAATAGCTAGGATTTGGGTAATATTTTAAGTGGAAGCAGGATTTCAACTGGCTATGACCACCACGAAAGCTGTTGTGCTGTATACATACCATTTCAGAACACGCTCTGAAATCTCTACTTCCTGACATTGAGCTGTGCAACAGATTTTATGAAAAAATCTTTCCAGAAGGGTTGATGATTTGCTTACTTTGATAATTTATGATTCAGGAAAGCCATTACTGGCATTGAAAAGCTTATAAAATCTGGCAAGAGGGTTTTACCAGCCATTGTGTTGGTACAAGAAATTAACCGCTACAAAGGTTAAAGATTTGTTTTGTTCAAATAATTATCTACTTTAGCTATTCTTTCCCAATGTGAACTGAGAATTGATTAGACTTCTATCTTCATGATCTGTTAGACAGACGAATTTCACTATCACTTCCAGTTTGTTTTGGGTTTATGTGTTTGGCTTCTTACAGTGAAAATTGAACTGACCAGAGAAAGTAATTTTCACTACCAACGCAATACATAGCATACTAAAGAACAAACTGTGATACCTCTTTAAGATGCTGTACTGCTATTTCATAACTCTTTGGCTTGTCACGTAGCAGAATGCTACTTCAAAGGAGAAAGATTCCTTTGAATCTCAGGAGACTGAGTTCTGAATTTAATTCCTGGAGTGAACAGGCTCCTTAAGCATTTTTTGTAAGGTCTCTAGAGCAAAGAGGGAAGATTGTAATAGCAGAGAAAATTATCTAAAAAAATACTTTAGTCCTTCACCTGTGGTTTACAAAAAAAAAAAAATCACAATTTAATTCCTTTATGACAAGAATTCATAAGCTAACACCTCCTATTGCTAGAAACGAATAACTTGTGCAAGGTTAACCTTTTACTTTTTACTGCCCCAACAGCAGAAAGTGTATTATTGCCCAGATGACATTTTTGTGGTTTGCTTCACTGATATCAGTGATAGCAGCTTCCAGGGATAACTCATAGCTACCAAGTGATTTAACATGAAATTTTGCATTTTAGTTATTCTTACATGAAACAAAGGAAATTTCTCTATTTTTTTCCCCCTGTCTTCTTGGTGTTATGACATGCATTTGGGCATATCATTGGCCACTGGCTCTTCAGTCAAAAGTGACTGAAAGAGGAAAAATAAAGTTTTTCCTTTTCTAAAATATGTTTTTAAAATGAAATCAGTCTTTGATTCACTTTTTCTGAGATACTCAACCAAACAGATTCATGTTTTTAAAAGAGTATCCCTTCCATAAGCAAGCAGGCAATTCTCTCTAAGAAGGCAGCTCTTGTGATTCCCAGCAGCCATCATCTGACAGATTTCTCCTGCTCTTATTCTATGCCCAAGGCAGATTTTTTTAGAGGCTAATAAGCTCTGGTTTTTTCCCTCTTTGCTATACCAATGCTTTGTATAATCTCAGTACAGATTTTTAAGCAAGCTTCTTAAGCAAGCAAGGCTACAGCGAGTTTCATCCCTACTACACATCAGAAAATAAAAAGCTATTAAATAGGAATTGTAATGCTCATAGTAGGGCTGATCTTTTTCCTCCATTTGGTGGTAATCACAGAATAGGAAGATTCCTGAATCTGTGTGGAGCCCAGTCTTAAAAACAGTTACTAGGGTTCAGTAATATAACTAATATCAAATATTTAGTTCTCCATTAAATTACTATGCATGTACTGCACTGAGACATGTACTAAATTTATTAAGTATTATTTAGTTAAAGAATTCCAGAAGAAGGCTTAAAAATAAGGCCTCAGACTTACCTGGTTTTGGCAAACTCATAGAATGTAAGCTAGGAGGCTGGTTTTACCTTTAGAATACTTTTAGAATATAGTAAACTGAGAATTTAAAGGTTGTACTGAGAACACACAGAGAGCCTTCTTTCTTATTTCTTGCTCCTGCTTTAGAAAAATTGAGTACAACTCTTTAGCTTGATAATAAATTAAGATCAGACATAGCATTTTAGTTGGGAATTCATAGCCCTGAAGTGAATCTACATTTCCAAGTAATTTTCCAAGTAATTATTTGTAAATGAGTGCCTGGGGTTGAACCAGATGTTGTCTCATTAGCTTTAACACTGTTATATGGAGAGAAAAAAAAAGAAAACAATAAAGGAGCAATAATGGAAAATAAATAGGAGTGTGTACAGAACAGTACTTACTTGTATCGATTGTTTTCTCTGCAATAGTTGGAATAGAATTTCCGATATATAAAGCAACTGACACACAGAAAAGTCTACTGTAACATTTAAGGGTGTATATTTATTACAGACTTTGCTATCACTTTCTCTATTTTATCAGTTGGTTTTCTAGTAAGTGTGTTTTTGGGAAAAGTTGGAAAGGAAGACAGCCATTACCTGCATGAATACATTTTCAAAAATCTTGAAACATAAATTAGACACATCAGTTTCCCTTTTAAACTAGTTTGATGTTAAGGGAGAAGTTAAAATGGTTCATAACTAACCAACTGGCAGGTAAAGTTGAAGTGTTGAGTACTAAATAAAGAAAATTATAGAAAGCAGAACCCAAAGTATTAAACAGAATACTTCTGTTCTTTGTTCAACTTTATCTTTTACTTTCCTGCATCCTTCTGATAATGATTTTTAGTGCTATAAATTCTCCAGCTTTTCAAACTGCTGCTGAAAGACCCATCTACCTAGGGACAATCAGGAAAATTAATCTGAATTGAATTTTAAACTGGATTAATTAAACTACATTAAATCCCTATGTAAATACACTTCCTCAGAATTTAAATGGCTTTTATTTAATATTCTTTGGAAGTGAGTTAAAGTAAATCAAATTAGGGTCTGTCTAATATTGCTTGAGAATGTCCATCCCATACCTCCCAAGTAATAAAACTACCTCACCTAAAATTCAAACCTTTTATTTTTTTTGATTGCTTTTCCTGATCAAGTCCACATGGACAAGCCACCCCTCTAACAATTTTTACTACCATTTACAACCCTTTTGAGTCTGACCTTATCTGATTTCCATACATAAAATCTGTATTTACATTAGGCTTTTTCCTTTATCACTTGATATGAGAGCTCTTACATTAAAATAGAACTGGAAAATGTCTTCTATTTTCCCCTTATTTACTCTTTAAGGTTTAATTTTAAGCAGATTGTGGACCAGCTTATTCAGCTTTCAAAAATAGCTCTTATTTCTTAGTCTCAGAGTCAATGTTTTTCTGTGGTAAGCAGCTACAAAAATGTTAGTGTGCTGAAATTTTTTTGTTTCAGTAATGTGTTTAGATTCATCAGCATTTCTGAAGCCATCAAATCTTGGGGCTATATGGATTCAACATTTAGAGGCTGACTTATCCTCCACATTTAACCATGTAGCATCTTCATATCCTTTCCACAGCATAAAATGAAAAGGTAATTTGTTATCGATGAATGTGTCTGCTAGTCGTCTTAGGTTAGCAGCGGAGTAGTGATGTAGCACGCGTACGTATTTACAGAAGCAGGGTGTGCCAGCATCACTACTGGCCCTGAAGGCAAGTAGAGTTCAATGGCTCCTGCTAGCAGGCTGCTATACTCTTGAGGCTCATGGCTAAAGAAAGAAAATGCGTAGCCTTTGGAGAACACATGTTGCAAAGCATGTAATTTAATGTGTTTCTTATTAACAGAGGTAAGCACCCTAGTTTGTTCCGAATGATGAATTCCCTTGTATGTAGACCCCAAATATGTCTAAATACAGTAGCAAAATGACAAATATATTGTCTCATTGGTTCAATGCAAAATGGATTTGCCAGTAAGATTCTGTGGCAGCCATGGATAATCACTCGTTTTTATTATAACCCAGGTTTTAAAAGCAAAAGCAAGCAAAGCCTATAGTATTTCATTCTGATTTTTTTGCATCATGATTGATAGTGGAAAAAACAACCATGTGGCCTCTTGTCTTAACTATGGAATAGTGGCGATGGGAGAGAGGGAGAGACATGCTTCACAAAACATGCAGCTGTCTGTACTTCAGATGTGGTGCTTTGCATCAATCATAGGCCCAAGAGTGACAGGAATGTGGAGTCAGCTTGCATTTCTGGAAGCATAGCTGCTTGTCCTTCAGAAACGTCATGTTAGTGCTCCATCACTCACTTTGACCAGATCATGAATTGATTATCAGACCAAAATTGTGATTTAAATAAGGACAGAAAAAGACAAAACCAGTCAGAAATGCGTTTGTTACTTCTCTGTGGTTCCTTTTTTGCAACGGAGTATCAGTTAAGTTCTGACTTACCACTGGTTTTGTTTTTCCCTCTTTTACTGCAGTTTATTATGCTGACATACATCTTTATGTTGGCCTGGCTTGGGGTTACAGCTTTCACTTCTCTGCCTGTTTACATGTACTTCAATCTGTGGACCATTTGCCGAAATGCCACCATAGTGGATGGAGCTAATCTCTGCTTGGATCTTCGCCAGTATGGTATGTGAATGAAGAGCACTAAATATAAAGCAAGATTTCACAAAAGAAAGCATCACGTTGCTTTTCTTCCATGTATCTGAAATGAACTGTTTCAGTATTTCTGAAACAATTGTTAAGCATCTCTTTCTATCCTCTTACGCACTGGTCAAGGCAGTATATTAGAGATGCACTGCATTTCCAGGCCTGACGAAATTGAACCAACATTGTCCATCTTCCCAGAGTACTGAAAATTTGGCTTGGGGCTTCTGTTTAGTTTCCTCTTTTGGAATTGCTGGAACTTGTCTAAAATGCTTCATTAGTCATTTATCTGGAGAATGACTCATTAATCTTGTGGTAGGACACTGATTTGGAGATGGGAGATCCTAGGTTATCATCTGTCTCTGCAGAGCCTAGAGGGGAATCGGGACAGGACAAGATTCACTGCTTGCAAAAACTTTGATGAAGAGTGACAATACAAATAGTAACACTCTAAGAGGCTGGTGGAGAGAGAGAGCGGGGCTAAAGCCTGAACTGTGGAGGTTAGAATAAAGTAGGGATATACACATATGTGTGTTTTGGGGGGATGGGAAATTTGGACAAAAGGGGTTTGGAATCTTAAAAAGTCTGAGAATTCTTGTGTTGGTGATGATAATTCAATTCCTTTCTGCCACAAGACTGATCTGAACCTAGATGTTCTGGCTTCGATGGTTTCTCAGCCCACAGAGCTTTGGGCAATCATACTCTCATCAGGCGGTTCCTTGAGTCTTTCTTTTGTTGCCTTGGCCTGATATAAAATCGCAGTATATTTTTAATTGCTATTTTGAGATATAAAAAATGCTGTATTGCTTGGGAATGAAACAGTTTGGTTCATAGTAAACATTTCACTGAACCTGAAACAAAATATTTCACATAATTGTTTTCACAAGGGGAAAAAAAAATCTTTTTTATTTTATTGATTTCCCCCCCCAGCATGACAGGTGAGTTGAAAAAGCAATTATCTGTACAGATCTCATCAGGAGTATTCATTCTTCTTTCTATGACCTATTATTTTGCTAATATTCATGCCTATTTTTTATTATTAATTCTATTTAAAATGTGCATAGAACACTAACATATAAAATGTGTATTCTGTGAACGTACCTGTTTCCTGTAAATTCAGTGTAAACACTGCTGATTACTAATAGGCAAGAACAGTGCCAATTTTCATGATAACCGAGTTACAGCAGTTTTCTTCAAGCTAGTCTTTGGTTTAGTATCTGGACATTAGCTAAAGGAAACAATATAGCAGATTCTAGTTATTCTTGCTGATAGAGAAACTATTATTACAATAAAGTATACATTTGGGTAATGCTTTTTTGTGACTTGTGAAAGAAGCTTTGTACCAGATCAACATGTCTGAAAACACTACATAGAGCATTTCTCCACACGAGGGTGGAAAATGTTTGTGAATAACGTGGTAAGTGTATATACTGGTCGCAAATAATTTTCTGGTGTTTTGATTATTGTGCTGATCAAAATCTGGAATGAAGTTATTTTCAAAAATTGCTGAAAAATTATTACCTGCATGTTTCCTACTAGGGCTTTTACTAAATAGGTGATGTATTAGTTTTGTGATGGCTGAAATTATCATAGAATGGTTTGGGTTGGAAGGGACCTTAGAGATCACCTATTTCCAACCCCCCGCCGGTGGGCAGGGACACCTTCCACTAGATCAGGTTGCTCAAAGCCCCATCCAACCTGGCGTTGAACACTTCCAGGGATGGGGCATCCACAGCTTCTCTGGGCAACCTGTTCCAGTGCCTCACCACCCTCACAGTGAAGAAATTCTTCCTAATATCTAATCTAAATCTACACTCTTTCGGTTTAAAACTGTTACCCCTTGTTCTATCACTACACTCCCTGATGAAAAGTCCCTCCCCATCTTTCCTGTAGGCCCCCTTTAAGTACTGGAAGGCTGCTATAAGGTCTCCCCGGAGCCTTCTCTTCTCTAGGCTAAACAACTCCAACTCTCTCAGCCTGTCCTCATATGGGAGGTGCTCCAGATCCCTGATCATCGACAAAGAACTGACTTTGTTGTTAAAAAATGTTCTGCAAAGTAACCATGAATTTGTTTTTCTTAGCTTTTCTGGCTCATATGAAGTAAGCTGCTATGTACTAGGAATACTAAATACTGTGAATATTTATTCTGCTCCAGGTATTGTAACTATTGGAGAGGAAAAGAAGGTTTGCACCACATCAGAAAGTTTCATCAAGATGTGTGACTCTAATGAGGTGAATAAATGTGATAATATTTTGGGCAAATCCATAATATATGTTATAGTAGGAAGTAACTGATGCGTGTTTTCTTCTTACTCTTAATGTTCTAATTCTAGCTATGGTGATGAAATAAAATCCCAGTGGAAAATACAGTCAGCAAGTACTTTTCCTAGTCTTTTACCACGTACCAAATTTAGTCAGTGCAATTTCTCCAGCCATTTGTTTTGTAAATACACTTGTATTTTATTTTTTTTAAGAATTCCATTGTCATGTATATTTTTACTGAGATGTTTTTGAAAGCTAATGCACCTGCTGCACAATGAATAGGTCTATATAATGAATCACTGTTTGAAGATCTTATGATTACTGTTGTGACAGGATAGTAAAGATTTCAAATGGATTTGACCAAATCTTGCATTGTGTTAGGATAATAACTCCTAGTACATTTTTCTTTGTAGTTTTTCCCTTAGGCAAAGGCCACCTATTTCAGTGCAGATGAGGTTTTCGGTTTTGTTTTTAAATGATCAGGGATGGAGACAGGACAAACAAAATTACATCTATCTAAAACAAAAAGAGAGGCTAAAATCTTGATCCCTCTGAAGTCAGAGGGTGTTTTGCTAAATGTTTCACTGGGTCTTACTATGTTTGAATAAATCTTCTTAGATTGAAGGTATACAATCTGCCTTTATACCAAAACCATCTAAGAAAATGCAACCCTTGCTGTGCAGTCCACACTCAGTGGCTGCTGTGTAAACCAGATCACTGAAATTAAAAACAAATGTAAACATTTGGTTTGGGGTGGGGTGAGGAAGGTGGTTAACTTGGATTATTTAAGTAACCTGGTTTATATTATATCATAATGGACAAATTTTATTGGCAAATTTGGGAGGGAAATAAATCAATATATGAAGATGGAAAGCTACAGCTAATGAAGGGGAATGGGGTTTTCTTAGGCTGTCTCTGCCACTAGAGAAACCACCACAAACATTTGTAGATCTGAAAGATAGTATATTGTAACTTTAAAAAAAAAAAAAAAAGAAAAAAGTGCTGGACTGTTTATTTTTAAATAATTGGGTTTTTTTTTTTTTAATATTTTATAATTTAAATACAATATTTTAAAATAGAATTATGCTTTATCCCTGATATGAGTCTTGCAACAAAACAGGCACAAGCACAACGTCATGTAGTGATGTCAATCTTTTGGAAAAAATACTAGTATTCATTACTTCTGTAGAAGGGTGGCAGCAGGAAGGTAGTTATTTGCTCTATGTAATTCAGACTTTTTGTTCAGTTTCTGTTTAGCGTACCACCATGAAAGTCCCTTTCTTTGTCCCCCTTTGCAGCTAAACATGACATTCCACTTGTTCATTGTGGCACTTGCTGGAGCTGGAGCAGCGGTCATTGCTATGGTAAGCTAACCAACACTCTGTACTTCCTTCGTCATGTCAATCGCTACTGCATTCTGGTTGTTACTTAGTATCAGTTATTCAATTTCCATACTATCACTCAGTGCAATTACTAAAATATAATTCTGTAACTCAATACTCTCTCATCTTTTTTTAAAATATATTGATGGATTCCCTTTGAAGTAGAATATCATGATTACTTTTTTGAATAAAAACCCACTTTTGAGTACATGCTAAGAATTTTTACTATTCTCTTACTGTGTTCAGACAAGTGTCTGAACTCACGTGTCTGTCTCATGACCATAGTAATATCCTTTTATAATCTATGCCTTTCTGGGTATTCACGGGCTTGCCATGCTGCTATTTTAGGAGCAGACTCTTGTTGTCAGTTCTGTGCATATATGTGAATGCGTCGTTTTTTCTGTCAGGACTAATTTTTGCTTTTTTTATAATAAAGATTATTTTGAATTTGATGACATTTTGCCAGTGGGAATGTTCCACTGAGAAAAAAGTGTATGAGCTAGTGCCCTGCTCTTCTGCCTTTTGTCTGCTGTGTCTGCTTAAACATAAAGATATTTTTAGAATGGGGATTCTGTACCAGTGTAGGTTTGTACGATACACACTGGAATGGGAAATAAAAAATGACTGTTACTTGGTACTGATGCATTCCATAAGAAAAGTGTTAGTGATGGTGATTACTCTTAATACTGCTACTAGTAATTTTTCATTGAATCCTAGGGCCATAAATTTTTCATTCTCCCTAGAATTACATTTATAAAAAAGGACAATTGGAGACTATTCAATGAAGCTAGTATTCCTGTTGCAATAGTGATTTTTTTGTTGTTCTCTGCCATTTTTTCAGTATTACATGACACTCTGCCAACTAATAAGTATAAAATTAGAATATAATTTATATTAATAATTTAATTGATTTTCCAAACTGAGACTTTTCTGCTTCTAGCTGAAAATATGGTGACCAAACAGTAATTATTACAATATGTATATTAGTGTTAGGAAAGTATATCCAAGAGACCATTAGTTCTCCAGTGCATTATTGTTTTGAAATGTATTCAGTAGTAGTTATCAAATGCTAATTTGTTCAGATAACAATTCTGCATTTCAAAGAAGAGTTTTGAATCAGAATAGGCACCAAAAGATTTTCAGTGAAAATAAACACATCTTCAGGGGAAGCAAATTAAGTAGGTACATTGAGCCACGTAGTTTAAATACATGATACTTTCAATGGTTTTAAAAAAAAAACCCTTCAAAGCTCACACTACCATATCAACGATTTCATAGATGTGTTACACCAAGCACTAATCCACTAGGAATTCACTTTGATGCCTTACATTTATTCACATATTTTTGAAGGGTTAGCCATACCCAAGTATGCTTTTTATTGGATTCTGTGACTGCACAGAGCAGGCATGATAACACTCTGACTGTTTTAACAGAAATATAAGTTAAGGATCTAAGTGCTAGTAAATTGTGTAGTGTCCAAATGCTGGCAAATGGATGCTTTATGAAATGTTTGCAACTGTGTTGTCTATATCTCAATTTTGTAATTAAATTTTTGTTTTTAACCTACCACTTGTGATGTTAGGTTCCTGGTGAAGACTAGCACATTCCACACTTTGGTGGGGGTAATTTTTAAAACCGGCATACCAGACCCCATTTATAGGTTGAGCAATGTGCTTCACAGTTCACACAGTAGCCCAAAGACTGGGGACAGGACATGAGGGAAAGTTCAGAATTCTGTGGTTGGAGAAGCAGATATTAACAGGTTCTCTTTCTTTAAGGGAAGTTTGCTTTCCCAAGGAAGAAGTAATTTAGGGGAGGGAAAATGAATTTTGGGTCTTAAACATGTCATATAGAAAGAAGAAAGTATCTTTTTTTTCCCAGATCCTACGCTCAAATTAGTAGAAGGTGGTAAGGTATCAGCAATGGGCTAGGGTGAGGAAGAATGTGTGCAGAAGCCATTTAAGTCAGTGGAGAACCAATGCCCTTCCCTATATATGCTGTTGCAAGAATAATCACAAATAGGATTTAATGAAGCTAGTCTTTGTATATATCCACAGCAGTAGGAGATCTCCATATTTGTGAAATTTAACAAGACTTCGTAACAGAAAAATGAGATTAAAATACCAGTCCTTTACAAAAGAGAAAGCTTATGAATTTATTACACTTTTAAAACATTTCTTGTAAACAGATACTTTAAACTAGAATAGTCTATCTGACTAAAGTAGTAAGTATTTTGTATTTATTACCAGCCAGTAATAGTAATGCATCATCAATGAGACTGCTGAATAACTGAATTGGTAAAATCTGCTCTTTAAATGACATTTTAAGTCATGGCAGATATACTCCTACTCCACTATATCCTCACTTCTGGATTTGTGGACGTTTGCAAGAGCCAGATTATTTAATATGTACAGATTTCTTTAACTCTTTTAATGTCAATATTTGTCATGAAATTCACCGAAGAAATCAGCTTATTCATAAATATTAAGACCATCTGTCACCAGGATACTTTTCATTAATCTGTATTTTAAAAATAATTTTTGGAAAAATGTAGTCATTTATTGCAAAAACCACAAAAAAATTGTTAATACTTGCAAACCCATTTGGTCACAAGTCATAATTTTCCCATATCTACTACTTTACTCTCTCTCGTATATGAATGTTAGAATTTTTTTCACAATTCACTAGCTGCCTCTTCAGTGTCCAAAGGAGAATGTTGGTTTGGGGTTCAAAAGGAGAACTGACCTACAAGTTAAGATTGATGTATAGAAAAACTCATGTATTTTTTACAGTATATGTCAGGGAAAACTTTATTTTGCAGAGAGGGAAAATAGAAAATAGTTTGTTTTGAAAATTTATCATACTTAGACTTCAGCCCAAGATGAAAAAAGCCTGATAGAATTATTTATGTGGTAGATGCTTTTTGTGAGTCTTGAGCACAGAAAAAATAGCCAGGATTTTGAGTAATAATTTGGACTATGTATGATTCTGAACATTAGTGTTCTTTCTTATGACTGAATGGATAATAAATGGATACAGAAATAATCATTGAAGTAATACATATTAGTTTTACTGATTTCAATGTTGCGTCAGATAGAAACAGAAGACATGAAATTGTTTAAATGTGAACTCTACCCTCCCAAAGCGTTGATTGTAAGGCTAGTAAGCATCCTGCCTGTGCTGTTTTCCCAAAACCACTACAGCAAAACTGAATTATGAGATAGTTTCCCTTCTCAAAAGTTACCATGTGAGCAGTACTCTTCTGCCTGAACTACCACAGAAGTTATGTCCTGTAAGATGGAGATGCAGCCAATTCTCCTGAAACAAGAACAGGGGAAATGTATAAGTTGTCTAGTTTCTCTCCCTCGGTAGGATTGTGTCCTTCTGCAGGATATTAGATGCATGTAAAGGGAGAAAAAAAGTTATTTAGACTTCTGCCCTGCTAAGTTAATGATGTGTCCCAAAAGGAAAACAAAACAAAACCAAAACCAAAACCCTTCCTAGCCTAGATGCAATTCTACAGTTTTGAAAGATTGAAGCATACTTTCACCTTATGAAGAAATCTAAGCAGGAATGTTTCATAGAGTATGGAATGACCCTGTGCTGTCTTGCATATGTCTGTAATTGAAACATCCTGAGGCAGACTGTGGAAGCTGCCCTGCTTCAATTTGAATAAGCCTTGACAGAACCCCACTGGCTTCAGGCTATTCAGGTCACAGAAGTGTGAAATGCAATTAGACAGCCACTTAGAGATGACCCCCTTAGTGTGTTATCTAGGAACTTGGTGTTAAACAAAAAAACAAACGTGGTGGGACTGTTAAACATATATATCATTATATAACGTGGGTATGTATTTGAGATTATATTCATTATATAAGCTAAAGTAGTTGCGTCCAGGAAAGTCATCCTACTTACAGTGAACGTGAACTCCAAGAGTTTTCAACAGTTATGCCAGAAGTTTGGTTCTCTAACTTTTTAAGGAAGGGATGGGTGAAGAATGGGAGTTTAATGAAGGTCAGACTGTGGCCAATGTGCCTTCAGAATAGTTTGTCTATTTTTTTAGCAGAAGAAAAATGCCAAGTGAAACTGCAAGACATTAGGTTTAAATTTGTCTCTTACTGGGTCCTTACCAAATATTTTGTGAGGAGAAGAAATGTGCCTACATGGTGCCATTTTCATCACGTATTCTTCAGTTGCAAGGTTTTCTGGCAGATGTGTTTTAAAAGGTCAGGAAGATGTGAGTACACTACTCAGATACACACACACACACACACACACACACACCCTTCTAGGATTCTCATGTCTACAATCTGTTCAAGGTTCAGACTGTATTTAATTGAAATCTTACCCTCAAAGGACCAGCACTGGTGTTTTCATTGGATGCAAATTGTAATTGTCTGAGATGACAGAATTGTTAGGATTACCAGCCTGCTACCTTTGATTTTTCTCAAGAGTTTTACTGTGGAGGAAATTTAAGGCATTTTATTCAGCAGAATGGGGATTCAGCATTAGTGTCTCTCATCTGATCTAGAAATGCCTGATCCAGAGATTACTCATGGTGAAAGCTTTTTGAACAGCTGAGTAAGATACAAGGTGTTTCTTTTTCCCGTGTGCTACATTATGACCAGAAAGTGTCCCAGAGTAACACAGTACATGCTGCCATCTCCAGCACTTGCACTACCATCACAGGTTGTGCTGCTAGTATTGTACTATAGATGTTAAGAAAGTCCTAAAGATATGTAGAAATGCTACTACCTGTACTCTTTTTCCTAGAGTAAAGATTCTCAGAACACTTCCTCCTACTTTATGGCTCCTCAACTAAGACTGTATTCCTCAAATAGGGATTAACTGGGTGAAAGCTTGCCGTAAACCACCAGGACAAAAAAGACACCGAAAATATTTGAAGGGTTTCAGAATGCTTTCCTTGATCTTAATTATCCGGTTTAAGAAATGTACATTAGCCTGCCCTAATCAGCAACAATTGCCAGCAAACATTTGTGGAAAAAGCCAAGATTGGCATTTCCAAAAAAGAAAGAACACACTAAATTGGTTCTGCTCATTTAGTAGTATCTAAGATACTCATATATCTACAACAGTCCAATATGAGCAGGAGAATTTGCATAATCTCAAGGGGTTTTTTTAAGATTACTCTATTCCATTTTCCACTAATTGAATCCTAGTTTAGTTTCTCGATTTCTTAGGAGGGGTGGAATCTTTTTGATTTCAGGAAATTATCTGTGGCCTCTGGGGCAGTTGATTAACATAAATATAAGAGATGCTCTCATCAGAAAGTATCTGAAAGCCTGCTAGGGGAGGAATAAATGTCCAGAGAGTCCTAGAATAAACCAGTTGAATACTGAACATTTTTATTTTCTGGCTGAAGACAGAGCCAACAGAGCACGTCCTAAGGTGAGAGGGGGACAAGTTTTGAGAAGGTCAGAGGCTCCTTGCAAGCAGATCCAGCAGACTGAAGGTAGGACATTTGAGGCCCACCTTCAAAAGGAAAGCTTTCAAAGTCTGCAAATGTCCTGAAAGGCACCTGAAGTGGAGAGCAGTTCGTTGCTCCAATAGGCAGCCGAAGATGGCCACAAGTGTGAAGACTAAGCAAACTAATTCCAAAAGGCACTGAATGCAGATAGCATGTGACTGCCCCTGAAGGAGGAGTTTCAAATAAAGTATTTTTGGCAGTAGTTCCTTGGAGGCCTCAGCTTCATTCCTTGTATTGGCATTGTATTAAAATGTATCACTTGTTTGATCATTCATTGCCACCATTCAGAAGATCGGACATCTACCAGTTGTTAAGCTCAGTCACTGGCAGCCATAGCATGTCATTCTTATAAACTACTAAACTCCATCTCAAGGGCAATTAGGGTGTTTTACATCCTCTATTTACAACGGAAAACATTTGCAGAATGTAGTTTTTCTACTGGTAAGATATCGTTCACTGACTTTCAGATTAAATTTATTCAAAACCACATGAAAAACATTTGTTCATGTGACAATATTGCCAATATCCTTTAACTGGTGTTTAATCCTCAGATGTATTCATAGAAATTCTGTCCTCCCCATTTTCTAACATAAATAAAGCAAGCTCTTTGGGAGTATATCATCATAACTCGTCCAGTGATTTGTATTGGCTGCAAGCGAGTGAGGTCCAATCTCCAATACCCACCAATAAGCTGCGTAATAATCACAGGCTGTGGGGTTTTTACCCCTTCTTTTCAGATAATTTTTTATTTTGTTTTTGGATGGAACACTTGGAAAGCTCTTAATTTTGTTGGTTTTTTTTTTAAATAAATAAATGTATTTTTACATATGCAAAAATTTACATGGAACATGAACATTGTTTCTGCTCTGTTCAAGATGTATACAGAAGTTGTCTTTTAAAATCATACAATTCACGTTTTTTGTTTTCTATGCATTTTAAAGAATTACATAAATAAATTGTGGTATAACTAATATAACAATGAAATAAAATTACTGAATTAAGTGGTGACGGGTGTGTGCCCTTTTAAGACCTCAAGTTTATTTGTAACTATATTTTGTCACATTTTGCCTAGCTGAACATATTTTTGAATTTTTGACAGATTTTTCCCAAATCAGCTAATCTTGACAAAATAGCTGGAGTTGTAGACGAAAGAAAGAAATCACGGCTAAATGGAAAGCTAATGCTAACTTTAACAAGAAAGAAAAAGCAAATCTTTTCATAATTACATTAGATGTGTCTATGGCATTTTTCTATCTTAAGCGACTACTTTAACAAATAGTGATTCAATGGGGAAAAGTCTACAAGAAATAACCAGAAGGTATTTTTCTACATAGATTTGCAGACTAGCTGGAATAGCGAAGCAGGGATGATTTGCTGATTTTTCAGTTCTTTTAATTTTTTTATAGCCATTGCTACCAACGGCTAGTCACGGTAACAGTAACAGCTGTGAGCTGAGTAATCTGAGGATTAATGAAGCTCAAGCTTGAACTTCACATCGTATTGCTGTACTACTTCTTGACGTAACAACGCTTAGTTCCGTCTGGTGAAAACCCAGTCTCTATCCTATAGCTTTCAAGTTTGAACTTGCTCTATTCTGACTAGCTCTGTTGGTTCCTAACTCCGTGTTACCTCTCTTGCAGGTCCATTATCTCATGGTCTTGTCTGCAAACTGGGCCTATGTGAAAGATGCTTGCAGAATGCAAAAATATGAGGATATTAAATCAAAGGAGGAACAAGAGCTTCATGATATTCATTCTACTCGCTCTAAAGAGCGGCTCAACGCTTACACATAAAAGAAACCCTGTCTTACTTTCTAACATGTGAATGCTTTGCTGTTTAACAAAATGCCATCCAACCATTTTAAAAACAATTGAAAGTGCTTCTCACAAAAGATAGTTTGGGTGACTTACCTATCACCCGTGTACAATTCTTGGTTGTCTAGCACTTGGTTTCTTAGTTAGTTCTTACTTTGTGTGACCATTCTCTACCACAAAGCTCCTAAATAGCCTTTCCTGAATCCTTTTAAGCTAATTAGTTCTACTAGATCAAGGATACTAAACTATTGTCAAATACAAATACGTGTTTGATTTTTTTAATCACTTTGTATGTGTTATGCATAACACCTTTTGCATTGTTTCTTATATGTTTTTGGAAAAAAAGTAGCTTTTTATACTTTTTAGTTTTGAGTTCAATAACTACTTTAACTACAGGTATACTTCAAAGGGACCATTGTACATGATGTACAATATATAAAGAAAACACTCTGATGACTTTCCTTTATATTTGGAAAACTTGCCAGATGGACCCTGATCAACTTGAATGAAGGTCCTAAGAACGTTTTAAACAATCAAAGGTGCAATTTCTAAATTTGTAATAGTGGGTAAAAAAAAAAGAAAAAAAAAAGAGAAAAAATAAAAAAGAAAAAAAAATTAAGAAGTGCTTCTTATCTTTGTTAACATTGTATTATTATTGATGTTTTTAAAGAATATTCTCTTGTTCCAAGTTCCATGGGTGATAATTCCTGTTTGTATTGTGAGCATGCAGACCGTGGTGCTAACAATGCATGGCCACTTGCCTTTTGAAGGAATTTAATACCACGGCTACCTGTTAAAGAATTATGGTATATAGACAATTGTTAATTAAGTGATATAGTTATCCATAGTTATTTACAGAATGATCTCTCTTTAATTCAATGATGGTTATGCTAAATTGGAGCTGTTCATGTGATGATGTAAGAAATTACTGCTTAGCTAGCTACATTTATGAAAGTAATATATCAAAAATACAGTGACCGTAGGAGTCAGATGTCTTTTTACCTGCTTTAAAAATTTAAATGGATTGCACCTGTCTGAACTGTAAAAGATATATTAAAGGAGACTTCCATAAATGTTATAGCTTGGCTTCTAGCTTTCCTACACATATCGGTTTACCTGTATTACGTTAAAGTAAGGTGAAAGACCACTACAGAGCTTATTATTTGAAAGTGTAGTAATATATTTGAACCTTTATTTTGATAGGAAGATGTTATCAGAAAGATAGGTCATCTTAATTTGAAAGAATTACCTGTATCAAAAACAAAACAAAAAACCCTATTTAAGAAAAGTCAGTATTATTGGACCAAATTTGGTGGTTTTTTTTTTTTGCCTATTTCTAATGCTACAAGAATGCTGTAAAGTGTCTCTTAAAGTGATGTAGCCTGACAAGACATTTTTGTCAGTGTTAAAAATCTTAGGTAGTTTTGTGCACTTATTGGACCATTGTGAATTCTCTCTCAGTGTAAGTGCATTTCTAATAAAAATTCTTGAGTAAAACTCTTCTTTGTACTATTACTAGTCATGCATCATCAGTAATTTTTAACAATTCTTGTAGTAAGTAGAGGGTAATACTATAGTTATTTGTGGCATGATAATGCATTAAGTAGTATTAGTTGATTGAATTTTTTTCTTTTTCTTTTCTTTTGCTCGTTTTGGGGGTTTTTTGGTTGTGTTTTTGATTTGGGGTTTTGGGGTTTTTGGGGTTTTTTTTACACTTAGGCTGTCCTACGGGGTCAACAGTTTTCTGATAATGTGCAGTACCGGTATTACAGTTCTGCAAAAAGTATTAGGAACCTCTTTTGGATTCTATATTGTAGTGTTTCAGTTTTGTGTCTTAAAACGTTTGTGCTGATTTTTAAAACTATGTCTTTTAAACTCATGTAATGATGTTAATGCTTTTGGCTCTTCTCTGGTATTAGAGTTTGTATTTTCACAAAGAATGCTTTGTAGCAGGCATTACAATTAATCTGTTTTGTACATAAATGTGCCAACAGCTTGATGGTGGCGTTTTTGAAATGTAGAACAAAGTGCTTGCAAAAATGTAATAAACACACTTGTGTACTTTGTGTACTTATTAATTGTTCGTGTTGCGTACTTTTTTCTTTGCCTATACTGGACAAATCATTGTAACCAGAAATGGAAGAAGCTTCTTCCTTCTGTTGTCCTTGCTGTTAGAGGACTGTTCTCAGTATTATGCATTTTTTGTACAACCTACTTTTAGATGTTCAAGGAGATAACTCCTTTAGCAACAATTACAGTGAACAAAGAGTAAAATTTAAAAAATAATAATCTGGAGATGTTATATTAATTATAGAATATGTCTTTGTCAAATCTGTGACAAAAAATTCTTATTTCAATGAATAATTTAAAAAAAAAAATCCAAACTCTAAAGAGTGATATTCTTATCTCCTTTCATGACATAATTTCCTCTGGCCTGTACCTTTACAAATTAAACATAGGTAAAAGTACAGTGTGCATGCAGCCTTCCCATGGTTAGAAATTGTGCCTCAGTTTTGGGTAGTTTGTTCCACTGAATTAAAACTCCCGGTCATTCCCCATGCACAGATTACTTCAAATATGTCTCTTAATCAGCATTTAGTATCAGAAATGATATATCCTAAGAATAAGAAAGTAAAATAATTTCTAAGAGCAGAATTTCATAGTCGAGCAAGAGCAAGGTAACATGAGCTACCTACTTGTTATGTTTTTAACATATCAGTCGAGAACAACTGGGCAAGATTCACATTACTGTGGTGTCATTTGGAAAAAGCTCAGCAGAAGCTGGTCTGATGTCAGTTTGAATATTGCTGAGGATACCGATACCTGGATGTTACGGTAGCTAGTACTTTAAAACCTTAATAACAATACTACATTACTTATGTGCATGTAAAATAATTTAAATGGTTAAGAGAAATCTATAGCTGTGCCAATTAACATATCACTAAGGAAAATTAATTAAAATACTGTTCCACAATGCGTTTGTTTCTCAGTTAGCTAGCTGTTATATAGCTCTTTGTGTGCTCTTGATGAGAACACATGCCATAATGGCAAACAATTTTTCATCAGCAGCACAAGCCAAGGGAGTAGAGGAGCTTCCCACAGCACAGCACAGCACATCAGTCATAACTGATTCACTTCAAAGTCTGCACATATTTGGTTTATTGCAGACTCTTCTCTGCTGACAGCCTAGGCTGATTTATCCTGAGGTAGGCTGCATGGATCTTGATTTCTATAGACTCTTCCGTGCTTAGTCTAAACCTGTCACTATTGTGCTTTTCAGAAACAAGAAAACCATTTGTAGATCAATCCATCTGGTGTAGTTTTTTGCTGCACAAAAGGGTGTAGTTCAATGAAAATTCAAATTTAAAAAGTTTCCAGCCCTACATCCTCAGTTTTGCATTTTCTTCACAGTTTACTACGCCCCATCAATAGTGCTAATGGCATATTACAAAACAGATACAAAAATTGCTTGAGTTAGAAATCCTTCCCACCCGTTTTCCCCTACCCACATCACCTCATTTTTTTTCACAAGGTTATTTTATCCCTCAGCAGGATCGTATCAGCGTTTCTGTTTTCAGCACAACTACACCAACCATTTAATCAGCATGATTTAGTGAAGTGCACTGCAGACATGGCGATGAATGTCCACAGCAGGGGTGGAGAGGAAGGGAATTTTTAAGCCAGCCTCATTCCTGAGGCCAGTGTATCATAATAGTTGGGTGGTATAGATAAAAGCAAGAGGCACTGAAATGATTTGCTAATTTCATGTTTCTAAATAGTTAGTGATATTATTTTTTTGGTCACAGGAGCTAAAATAAAACGAGGATTTCTACTATAATTGGAAATATATCTATAAACTCATTGGTTTTAATAATATATGAAATTATTAATCTTGACTTAGTGCAGGTATTTAAATTGTAATATGTATGCATTGATCATAAGTATTTGTTGAACATGACCATGGTTGCAGTTCACCTTCAGTTGCTATAGTAGATTTTAGGACAGAACATTCCTGTACTGTACTTTCTATAATAATCAATGGCAAAAGTTTATAGAGTTCTTTCCATCGTTAAGATCCGATGCATTTTTCAATTATTCAGTTCCGGGTTACTACAAGTATTAACATAGCTGGTTTTTGAAGAACGCAGCTCAATTCAGCTAAGCCATAAAAGAGCAGACTATAATGCATTTCAACCCAGGAGGGGAAAAGTGGTGTTTATACACACTCGCTCTTAAAAAAAAGCAGCATTTTATTTCCACTAGGTTGCACAGAAACCCTGCAAATAGATATTGTTAGGCAGCAAACTAATTTATGTCTCCAGGTGGTATCATATTTCAGCATTGCCTCCATTTTGGGTACATATCAACTGAAGAGAACAAGCTCAAAGCACTTAGTATATTTAACAGCTCTTTCTGTCCCACGCGAATTCTTCTGACTTGTATTTTTTACAAGGGAGGAACTCCAGCAGTTTCTGAATTTTGAGATTTTCAGCTATTGTTTCTTGTTCTTTCAGATATCTTTGGAGGATCCCAACACTTCAGAGAGTTACTCCTATATTTAACAGTTATTAGCTATGATGGCAACTGGTAAGTGATTCTGCTGGTACAGTGGGAGAGCTGGTTACTAGTAGAGAAGTGGATTATCTTCAGTTTACAGTAGTCTGAGTATCAGCCAGGAGACTTGCAGCTATTCTGCAGGGAGAAATTTGTCCTGAGAGAATGGTTCTGCCCACGTTGTACAAGCTGCTGTGGACTCTTTCCCCATGTCAAGTGGAGCCTGGCCGGATAAATGCGAGCCCCAGGGAAGATCATTTCAGTTGCTCTTTGAATCGGCAATTCTGATCTGCCTGCTTTTCTTTTGCATTGCTGAACTTCCCGTGGCTGAAAGGGATGATTTGGGGGCAGGTAAATCTCCTCTAGAAGTGGTTGAGGTAATGTCAAACAGAAGCTCTTTTCACAGCAGCTGCCACAGCTATAGCAATAACACGGCAACAATTGAAATTTTGCCACTATATCCCAATCATGCTGAAAAAAAGACTTGAAAAAATTAACAAGAGGCTTGCACGGATATCCTATGGTTCTGCCTGTTGAGTTACTCAAGCCAGAAATGCTGCGTAGGCCAGAAAAGTGATGATAAGAGCTGGTTTTCCAAAGTGTCTAAATGTTTTTTCTTCTCAGCTGTCCAGGAAAAATTATACTTATCCATGAATCTCTTGCCTACAGTTAACAGAGAATATTTTGGTCTCTGAGACTATAAGTCCTGCATTTTTTTAAAGAGGTTTACTCACCTGTATTTCTTCTTAAGGATAAATATTAATTTAAGAACGAATCTTATCGGGGAACAAATTTATCCTCAACAAGTTCATGTTCCAGTTAAAACATGCAAATCAATTCCTGGAATTTTATAATTCAGCCAGTTTAGTTTGCATGTACAATCACACCCTCACAAGTTCTGTCTTTTGGAATAATAAACTAAATCACATGGTTAGACACAGAGGCAAATCGTCAGGTTCATCAGCTGGCTGGTTTGAGCTGATTAAGCAGACTGAAACCTTTCTCGAGAAGGC